TTTATTGAGATATTTTAATATATATTTTATTTATCTGATATATATTTGATTTATCTTCTAATAGATATCTAATATATATTTTATTTATCTAGTTTATTGTCTGTCTTCCCAACTAGAGCATTAGTGCCATGAAGATAGGTATTTTTGTCTAAATAGACAAGATTCTCTGCTTCCTCCACAAGACCTAGAATAGTGCCTGGCACATAGTAAGTACACAGGTACTTTATTTATTGTTGTGACTCATATCTTCTGCAGGGCCAGTTAGTTCAGCAATGTAGCGATGTCATCAGAGACCCAGGTTCTCTGTTCCGTCAGTCTCCATCCCTCCAGCTGCCCGACTCCGCGCCTGCCACGTGCAGATTCCCCATGAACATTTAACCAATGAGTGAAAGTGTGAAGTTCCGTCTGTCTCAGGGGTACACAGGTACTTTATTTATTGTTGTGACTCATATCTTCTGCAGGGCCAGTTAGTTCAGCAACGTAGCGATGTCATCAGAGACCCAGGTTCTCTGTTCCGTCAGTCTCCATCCCTCCAGCTGCCCGACTCCGCGCCTGCCATGTGCAGATTCCCCATGAACATTTAACCAATGAGTGAAAGTGTGAAGTTCCGTCTGTCTCAGGAGCGGAAAATTCCGTATGAGAGACATATGTTCAAATTACCTTTCCTTGGTAGGACAGAATGACAGAATCAGCAAAGAGTTTATATTTTGCCTTCAAAGTAGTATTTGTGAGAGAGAGAGAGAGAGAGAGAGAGAGTGTGTGTACACAGAGGGAGGTGAGTTTCTTTTCCAACTTTAATTACATCCCCATTTGCCCCTGTCTGCATTATATGTAAATCCTTCAACCTTATTTCCTGTACCAGCCAGCTCCTTCTGGAATACTTTGCAAATTTAAAGGAAGACATGGGGTAATTAATTTAGAGACAGGTGGCCAAAAGATAGTGAGAAATCCAGAAACTGTGGCATATGAGGAAAATAAAGAGAAGACTCAGGGAATAGGGCAGCACTCTTAGAACACTTGGTGGGTTCTCATTAGGTAGAAAGAATACTTAAGTGATAGTCCAAAATGGATGGGGATAGAAAGGAGACGACTAAGGAATATTTCTTAGGAACAGCTTTTTAGAACCGGGAATGGGATGCATGGAAGGAAAGTTGTTCTCTGTCCAAAGAACTTCAGCAATGAAGGCAATTGGTCATCTCCAAAAAGGAGGGCAGGCACAGGATGTACCATTGAGGTACGGGGGCGGGGGAACCACTGTTACTGATGTTTTAATCTAGAAACATTAGGAAGAAGTCATTTTTTATTGTATGGAGTGTGAGACGTGCTTGAGGAAAATTGGGAACTCCTCATTGTGGGGGGGATCAATAGCAGGGACTTCACCAATTTATTGGTTTCAGCATATGGCAGCATACTTCAGCTTACCTGAGCCCAGCTAATTAAACTTACAGGTTATTTAGTTCTAACTAAATAACCCTCAAGGAAGTGTACAAATAGCTGGGAAAGATTACTGCAACAAATCTTTGATTGAAAATACTACTACAAGAACACAAGCAAAAACAAACAAACAAACAAAAAAATGAAGAACATGGCAAAACGGATTCTTTTTATTGATTGGGTTGATCAAAGAAATTTAGAGACCCCTGGCTCAGCTAATCATGTGTCCCAAATATAAGAACCAGGGTAACATCGAATGTTTCAGCTGGAGCCAGAGAGCCTTTGGAGATCCTTGTTCAAGCCCCTCATTTTGCAGTTGAGCAATCTCATCAGAGATCCCCATCTTGAGGGGAACAGGTCCGCTTGTGGCCTCTGCCACTGCTTCAGGTCCCATTCCCCTTCCAGGGGCTTTGCAATGCTGTGAATGGGCTGGTGTTTTAGGAACAGTTCTAGTTTCCTTTTCCCCCCTGAACTCTGCTTTCAGGTATTTTTTCTTGAAAATATCCCCAAAAGAGATGATTGCCTCCATCAATAAACAGATAATTGAATGTGGTTAGAACTGATTTCTTAAATATACAAAATCAGGCACAGTTAGCAACCCAGTGAAACTCTGAGTATCCTACCTGGCAGTCTGTTGTGAAGTCTGTGACTTCTCTGTGAGCAATGGTAAAAGTTAAGGCTCACGTTTGCCTGAGCTGTAAACCTTTATACTTCTGATCTCCGAAATTAGGGTTTGGAAGAAAAGAGAATCGTAAATGAACAATAAAAGTCATGTGGCTTTGTGAGTGTGGCTTGGCCTCAAACAAGTTACTAGAGAGGCAGCTGGAGTGTTTGCCTGAGCTGTAGACCTTTATACTTCTGATCTCCGAAATTAGGGTTTGGAAGAAAAGAGAATCGTAAATGAACAATAGAAGTCATGTGGCTTTGTGAGTGTGGCTTGGCCTCAAACAAGTTACTAGAGAGGCAGCTGGAGGAGGGGCAGGCAGAACTTTGGCAGGGGTGTGATTCGCGGAGGGTTGGCTCGGTCTGTGGAGGAGTTGTGTAGTGTCAGCTTTACCTTGAGCTTGAAAGTAAGTCCTGAAAAGAGAGAGGACACATTGCTTCCTTGGACCAACACTATTTTGTAGAAACAGACTGAAATAGACAAGAAACACCAGGGCTTGGAAAGAGTTGGGTCTGTGTGACTTGCCAGAGAATTGAGGTCTGAGATGGTTCTGATGTGCTCATCTTTGGACACCTTTGGATTCGGCTGCCTTGCCAAGTGGACACCTGTGCCTTGGCTTGTGCATGGTGTTTGTATTGGGGTCATCCACTGACAGGTGTGCAGTGGTTCCCTACGTTCCTACTCTTTGGCCTGAGTTTATGCTGTGGACGTCCTGCCCCTGGGGGCAGCTGAGGAAAGAAAAGAGCAGGAACTTTTATTGGGACAGTAGCCTCCCAGGAGAACCTTCCCTCTGGTCAGCCTCAAGAGAGAGCAGTTTTATCTATCCCGGAGGCCATGTCTACTTCCTGCCTTTCCTTCCAAGTTCATTTTCTGGACAATGATGCCACCTAATGGGGAACAATAGTAACTCACAAAGCATTTGGGGTGAGTTTATACCTAAATTTTCAAATAGAAGTCACTTTTCCCTGCTTTGTACTTAACTGTGCCACATATTCAGTGCTGTTTGCCAGCTTCTGATGAGGCCAAATTCAACAGCACGTGGGCAATCAGGATTTCATAATACTAATACCTGTTTTAAGATGGCTATAAATGATGTAAATATATATCAGTTAAAAAACCAATGAAGAGGAAGTCTGAAATGAAAGGAGGTATATCGAAATGATAATAGTGACTGGGTTAGGATGCTGTAATTGTGTTTTCTGAATGCTTTATGCTATAGCTTGTATTTCTTAGAAGATTTATGTTATTCATAGCATATTTTTAAATAGTAAATGATAACTAAAGTAAAATTGGAAAATATGGAAAGGGAGACAATAAAATAAAATCATGCATAGTTCCACCACTCAAAATACAACTGCTATTTACATTTTGGTGTGCTTCTATTTAGTCTTTTTAATCATAGAGTGTATTTTTTTAAATTACAAATCTTTTTTTAAAATAAATCTCTTCTCCACTTGTAACTCACTTACCTTATTATCCAAAAAATAATGTCTGTCTTTTCTCTCTGGCAGATATGTTTTGATTAGGCTCTTGAGGAGGCAGGTAGCACATGAGAAAACACTAGTTTGTTAGAGCGTAATGAAAACTGACATGCATCCCAGATGTGCCATTTACTAGCTTTGTGTCCCAGGCTAAGGTCACTTAACCTTTCTGAGCTCAATCTCCTCATCTGTAAAATGGGGAATCATAGCTTCTTTGCTAGGTTATAATAAGGACTAGACATTATGCCTAGTGCTGTACTTGTAATGCAGATGCTGAAGTATAGCTATTTTTATAATAAGGATTCTTACTGCTGAGTCAGATTAGGTGAAAACAAAAAGTCAGTTCAGTTCACCAATTCTAGAATGCATAGGTTTTTCTCATTTTAACATCTCTGAAATCAGGATGCATCCATGACATGCAAGTGTTTTATCTTATTAGTTATATAAAATAATTTGATGGTGTTTTAAACAAAACGTGGTAATTAGGTCAGTAAAGTGAAATGCTACAAAGAGAAGATTTTTGTTTGTTTTCGGCAGCTGGTGGGTACAGGGATCTGAACCCTTGACCTTGGTGTTACAAGATTGCACTCTAACCATTGAGCTAACTGGCCAACCCGAGAGAGGTGTTACGTGCTCTTGGGTTGTGTCTGTAAAGCTTGAATGTGATAACTGTATGCTGTGTGATGGTGACAATTCCCCACTGCTCTGTTCCCAGTCTCAGACTTGAACCTGAGCACTACTATTTCTATGAAGTTTATTTGGAAAGCGTGCACTGAACCTTTTCAGATTCCCTGAGATTATACAGCACAGTTTATAACTTAACAGCTTGCAGCACTTAGCACCACAAAGTATACGTGAAGTGAGTGATGATGGGTTACACTGGGAGATGGGATGTCGGAAGGTGGGTGTAGGCCCTTCTCTAATTCTGTTGCTTCCTTCTCTGCTGTGTAGACTGCTACCTTCTCTCCAGGGCCGTTTTGAGGACTAAATGGGATGCTTCATGGAAAATACAGGTGGTCCCTGACTCACAATAGTTTGACTTACTATACCATATGATGGTGAAAAAGCCACATACTTTCAAACAAAGTAGAAAGCATACTTTGAATTTTGAACTTTGATCTTTTCCTGGGCTAGTGATATGCAGTAGGCTTTGTGTTAGATGATTTTGCCTAGCTGTAGGCTAATGTGAGTGTTCTGAGCATGTTTCAGGGTAGGCTAAGTATGATGTTCAGTAGGTTAGGGGTATTAAATGTGTTTCCAACTTACAATATTTTCAATTTACAGTGGGATTATCAGGCTGTAACTCCATCATACGTTGAGGAGCATCTGTACCTGGCACATCTTCAGCTCAGTAAATAACAGCTGATTTTATCACCATCTCCTTGGCAGTGGTTCTAGTCTTTGTTACCCCTGTCTTTCAGTCTAATAAAGTTCCTGTTGTTCAGCACCCTCATCACATGCATCCGTTGACACCCCTCATCACCTACAGCAATGACCACTTCTCTCCTGGCTCCCCTCCCACGCACCTGTCCCCGGAGATCGATCCAAAGACAGGTGAGTCATTGGCCGCTCGGGCCTTGCTCCTGCAGGCAGGCAGCTTTTCTTCTGGGGGAACATAGCAGTGCTTGAATCAGGCAGACCTGGGTTCGGATCATGCTTCCAACTCCGAAGAGTCCTGTGACCTTGCCCACCGACTTTAGCCTGTTCAGTTTTTCATCTGTGTCTCATCTGTACCTTCTATACCACAAGATCACTGTGAGAACTAAAGGGAATTAAATGAGATAAAGCACAGGGCTGGCTCCACAGTAAGCTTTCAGGTTCCTCCATCAAAGCCCAGCCCCACTGCAGGCTGGGCCTCCCTCAAACCAAGACCTTGGCCCTCAGCTGGACATTTGCAAATAGGGTAGTTAGTCTAGGCTGGCTGGTTAGCTCGATCAGTTAGAGTGTGGTGCTCATAACACTAAGGTGCAGGGTTCAATCCCCGTACCCACCAGCCACCAAAAAAAGTCTATCCAGACTTGTAAGTAAAGCCAAAAACAGTGAGCTGAGCTGGCTTGTTTTTTGTTTTTTATTATTAACTTGCCCACCAGACCTGTCCATCCCAGGGAACCATAGTCTTATAGCATCCCCACAGAGTCGCCATGGTGCAGAGCATTTTTGGAGCTCCTCTTTGGAGAAATAAGTTACTACAAGTTACAAATGATAAGGACAAATGTGAAATAGAAATCCAAAGTTTATTTCTCCATGAATGACGCAGGTTTTCTAGAAAGTGAGTTAGCCGATGACCGGGGGATAGCATAGGCCTGTCTCTGTCAGGAGTTCCTGTCCCTCTCTTACCAGATGCTGACTTCTGTATGAGAGACAGCTAGAAGTCACTCCTGCCCTCAGGGATGCAGTTGCATAGCTAGGAACAAGATGCATTAGTCCTGCCTTCCCTGACTGTGTCCTCGACTGACTGGCCAGAGCTGCTGGGGAGGTGACAGAGGGCAAGGATCATGAGAGGAAAGGGCCTTCTGGGCCCCAGAACACCTGGGGACGTGGGGGAGGAGCCTCCCATTTGATGTTATTTAAGGCATTACAGTAGGGCAGGGGACAGTCTGACACATCTCTCTTTGGAAGCAGGAATACCCCGGCCCCCTCACCCATCTGAGCTGCCACCATATTACCCACTCTCTCCCGGAGCTGTTGGACAAATCCCCCATCCTCTCGGCTGGCTCGTCCCACAGTAAGGAACTTCACAGACTTTCTTCCCCTCATTCCTTCCTCATGCTGAGCTCTGCCATCGGTACCCCCGGTTGCCCTGCACAATGGAGCCCTCCCGGAGGTGACACCCAGGACTCAGACCTCCCTGCCCCTGCCCCGGACAACCTACTTCCAACTCACACTTCCTACCTCCTGCCTCTTCTTTCTCATCCTTCCTTCCCAACCCCTCTCCTTCCCTGCCCTGTCTCCCGGAGGTGACACCCAGGACTCAGACCTCCCTGCCCCTGCCCCAGACAACCTACTTCCAACTCACAGTTCCTACCTCCTGCCTCTTCTTTCTCATCCTTCCTTCCCAACCCCTCTCCTTCCCTGCCCTGAACTTCCCCAGCATGCTGACCAGACATCCTTGCTCCTGGCCCTCACAGGCAAGGACAGCCCGTGTACTCCCTCCCTCCCGGCGGCTTCCGGCACCCTTACCCTGCCCTCGCCATGAACGCCTCGATGTCCAGGTAAGTCCTGGGGCTGGGGCCACGAGCGTGAAGTGACATTCCTGGGAATGTTTGTCTGCTGGGACCATGCCATGTCTGGCTGTGAAACAGCCTTTCCCTTGTCACTTAATGAGAAGGAAGGCACGGGCTCGCCTTTCCTCCCCTCTGTTTGATACGGTGTCTTCTCATGCCCCATGCTCCTACCGCCACGTCGGAATGGAGATTACAGGATCTCTCTTTCCCCATCTCTCTAAGAGAAGAATTGCAAAGTCCTGACACAGCACTGTCCCCTCCTGCCACATCCTCATTTTGAGTATATCACCGTGAAGCCAGAGACTGGCAGAAGGATGTCAGAAGAGACAGTAAAAGGGGATTTCTTTCTCAGTGGCCAGCTCTTCCCGACACCGCAGCCCACAGCACAAGTCCTTGTCCCCTGTGCCCCTGCCTCTAGCCTCTATGCCTTCTTCGTGGTTTTCATCCTGCCCGCTTCCAGCCCCAGATCTAGGTACCCCATATATTCTGGGGGGAAGGGAAGAGTTGGTAGGTGTTTCCCAAACCTGGGTCTCCAGAAGACAACAAATGACCTTCCAGTCCTCAAACACACACCTCTGCCCTCGAACCACCTGTCCTCTGCTGGGGGATGCGCTTTCAGCCTGAATTCCTCTATTGTCATTTGCTTCCACCCGGTACACAGCCTGGTTTCCAGTCGGTTCTCCCCTCACATGGTGGCTCCCGCCCATCCTGGTCTGCCCACCTCAGGGATCCCCCACCCGGCCATCGTCTCCCCCATCATCAAGCAGGAACCGGCACCCCCCAGCCTGAGCCCCGTGGTGAGCGCGTAAGTATGAGGCAGCCTGGGTTGGGGTTGGAGGGGGCTGGCCGGTCTCTGAGCAGCATGTGTCCTGGTGTCATTTATCGGGCAGCCCAGTAGCCCGCCTCAGCTGCGCCCCCTTCCTGGGGAACTGTCCCCTTTGACTTCCTGGGTTCCCGTCCTTTCAGAGATGTTGAGCATCTTTTCTCCCATTGAGGAGCATTTTGCAATCAGGTCTTACAGGCTGAGAGAGACTCTGAGGAAGCTTTTGGCTTCCCTCCCCCTCATATCACGCAGGAAAATGTGAGGCCCAGAAAGTGTCTGCTCAGGGACACATGATGCACTGGTGGCCAAGCTGAGATGAGCTCCAGGGCCCCTTTTTGTCCACTGTGCCATGAAGGCGGCAGGAAGGCCAGAGCTGACGCGTCCCAGCTCTTGTTTCCGCCCGTGCTCTGCGTCACCCATGGCCAGGTCCTGCCAGCTCCAGGGAGGGTTTATCTCGGTGCCCCCCACTCTGCCTTGTCAGGATATTATCAGGTGTATTTTCAAAGAACGTGGCTTTGAGGTAATTCAGAGGCTGGGAACTACTTGAGGAAGATCCCAGGTGCTGGAAGCGGCCATGGGCCACTTTAGCCACGTAGCTCTCTCCCCTCCCAGAGGCAGTGGCCGTGGCCTCAGAGAGAGGAAGGGTGGGTGAGTCAGTGACGGCCGACTCTGCTAACCTCAGCCCTGCGCCTTCCCAGGAAATCGCCAGTCACAGTGAAAAAGGAGGAGGAAAAGAAACCCCACGTGAAGAAGCCTCTGAACGCCTTCATGCTGTATATGAAGGAGATGAGGGCCAAGGTGGTTGCCGAGTGCACCCTGAAGGAAAGTGCAGCCATTAACCAAATCCTGGGGAGAAAGGTAAGACCTGCCCTTGTCCTGCAGGCCACGTGGTTCAGTGTCCCACACTGATGGATCCGTGTGGTCTCTGACCCTCTGTCCCTCAGTGGCACAACCTGTCTCGAGAGGAGCAGGCCAAGTACTACGAGCTGGCCCGGAAGGAGCGGCAGCTTCACTCCCAACTCTACCCGACCTGGTCAGCCCGGGACAACTATGTAAGTGGCCACGTCGGGCAGGGGGACACTCAGACACCAGGAGCAGCGTCTGCAAGAGGAAGAGGGGGGAAGGAAGGCGGCTACGTCTGTGGAGGGTTCTTAAGACCAGGGAGAAGTCCACATTTCTGTAGAAATAAGGAAGGCATTTTGAGTCTCAGGAGTCAACAAGATATCCTGAGGACAGATTTAAATTTGTGCCATTCCTGTTTGAACCAGACTCCACCTTTGATTCTGTAACACAGGGTGCAGGGCTCGCTGTGGTGGTGAGAGTGTCTCTAGCCACAGGTCCCTAACCCAGAGCTCAAAGATCAATGCACAAACCTCAGGGGACATAAGTGTAAACTCCTTAAAACTAGGCAGGCTTTTGTATGGTCTCATTTGCTTTTTTTTTCTGGAAAGAGGATCCATACGTGCATCAGATTTTCAGAGGGACCTGGGAACCCTCAAAAACAATCAGGAACCATTGTTCTAGGGAGAAAAATGGAAAAACAAGCCAGAAGGGCAGTGAAAAGATGATGCCTCCCAAGAAGCCCTGGATACCCGAGTTGGAGGGGAAGAATCGTGTCTATGGGAAAGGAAGGGCTCGCTCTGCTGCTCTGGGGCTTCTGGGGGGTGTGACTGGAGTCGGCTCCCCACAACCTCCAGCACCCTCACCCAGGGGGGTCAAGAGTAGTAGGAGCAATATCCTGTCTTCTCCTCTGACTTGGGGGTCCCCCTAACAAGCTGGTATTATTCTGTCCCCGCTTACCTCTTCCTTTGGCCATATCTTTTAGGGCAAGAAAAAGAAGAGGAAGAGAGAGAAGCAGTTGTCACAGACACAGTCACAGCAGCAAGTCCAAGAGGCAGAGGGTGAGTCTGGGGGCAACTGTCCTCTTCACTTCCCCTGCTGCTGTCACAGCTGCACCTGCCTGTGTGTTGCAGCTGGGTCTCTGATGGGTCAGTGCTGTCTTATAGAGATGACCAATTAAAAGGCTCAGAGAAGTTGAGGCATTTTCGTAGTCACTCTGCGTGTTAAGCAATGGAGGTAGGATTTGGTCCCAGGACTTTCTCACTTCAGAGTCTAAGCACTTTTCAGTTCAGTTGGGTGGCATCCTACTTGAGGGTTAATGGAATGTGGTTGAAAGTGTCCTTGAAATTCCCGTAGGAAGGCAGCGCATTAGAGACTGGCATACCACCTGTTGGTGAATCCAGCTGAATCAGGTTTTCCTCTGGTGTTTCTTCAGCGGAACACCAGAAGAAATAGTTTGCTCGAGTTTAGGGGCCACTCTGTGCCAAAAATCTGTACTCTGTCTTTTTACACCAGTCACACCTAGCACAAAGATGCACGCACTGTGACAAGTATTTAGGTCACATCCCCCATCTTGTGCTTCCTGCAGGACAAGCGTACAGCTGCTTACACCATCTAAAGTGCTTTTGATCTATTCCTTCCTTACTTCCTCTTCTCTTGTATCTATTATTATCTTTGTAGTCATTACATAGTACACGTAAGTACAATATGTGTGTGATGCAGACCCACTGTATACTGTGCTGCTCAGCAGGTGTCACTGCCTCTGACTATATTGTAAGCCACAGATTTTAAAGCAATTGAATGGAGATCATCCCAAAAGTTATGCGACTTAGGAAAGGAAGATGATGTGATAGTCACATACTGAGCGGGTCCTCCTGAGTTTGGGCATCGCTCCTTCCCTACGCACCAGGTGTTCTTCAGTGCAGTCTTGAGAGTAATTTGAGGTCCTCGCCATACGCACCCCTGTTTCCAGAGCACACGTGGGTAGTCAGGGCTGTTCCTCAGCCTCTCCCAGAGCTACTAGCTCTTCACTCTTCTCGTATTTTTTTCTCCTAGGTGCTCTGGCCTCCAAGAGCAAGAAGCCATGTATTCAGTACCTGCCCCCTGAGAAGCCCTGTGACAGCCCTGCCTCTTCCCATGGCAGTATGCTGGACTCCCCTGCCACCCCCTCCGCGGCCTTGGCCTCTCCAGCCGCCCCTGCTGCAACCCACTCGGAGCAAGCCCAGCCCCTCTCCCTCACCACCAAGCCAGAAGCCCGAGCCCAGCTAGCCCTGCACTCAACTGCCTTCCTGACAGCTAAGGCTGCAGCCACCTCCTCTGGCCAGATGGGCAGCCAGCCTCCTCTGCTGTCCCGGCCCCTCCCCCTGGGGTCTGTGCCCACAGCTCTGCTGACCTCACCCCCCTCCTTCCCCGCCACGCTCCATGCCCACCAGGCCCTCCCAGTGCTACAAGCCCAGCCTCTTTCCTTGGTCACCAAGTCTGCCCACTAAACTGCCCCCTGACCTATGCAGGCTGTCACGTGACTCATCGAGTAGTAATGATTCAGAAGAAAAAAAAAAAGGAAACTTTATTGGTCAATATTTGACCATTCTGGACTGTTCTGTAAAGTGACTGGTAACAACAGCACTTTACATCTTGTAGATGTAACCAGTAGCTGATCTTAAGGCTTTTTTAAAAAACAAAGCAAAACAACAAAAAAAAAGTCTTTAAAAGAAAAGTAGTGTGTTATTCTTCCTGTCTGTGCTGTGGTAGATGGGCCTGGGCAGAAGACGCATTGCTTTCTACCTCTCCCTTTTCCTTTCTACCCTCCTCTCTTCTTGTCACCCCCACCTGCCCCAGCTCCCCCTCCGCTACCCCCACCTCGGTCTGCATCCGTGCCCTTGCTGTGATTTCTAGCGCGGTACCTCTTCATCCAGACCCATGCCTGGACACCTCCTGTGTCCAAGCCAAGTTATGATTTGCTCCACACCATGGGTTCTCTCCCTTTGTCTCCTTTGTCCTCTGCCCAGTGTAAGGCCGTCACCATGTGAGAAGACATCTTGGCCTGATTCATTTCCACCAGCATCCCCCCACCCTCAGTGGGCCAGAACCCGCCAGCCTCCAACTTACAGTGGAGGAAGCGGCTCTCTGAAGTCCCCCCACATTTAAAGGGACTCAAGGTGCCTGCCAGTTCCTCAGCAAAGAAGTCTGTGTTCCTCCCCCTCTTTCCTGATCGACATCTCCCCCTCACAGTCCCAGAGTGGCTGGCAGGACCTGGCTCCAAGGTCTGGCTCCTGTCGCCTGGGTCAGTGCTAGTACGATCTGCCAAAGTTCTGAAGACCCTCTTCCCACCCACCCCGTCACCTCACATGCTTCTTCTGTGTGTATTTCTTTTTTGTTTTTATGGTTATTGGAGCAATTTAAACTCCCAATTTATTTTCACAAAAGAAAATAAAATTGCAGTTGCAAGACCTCTTCTGAGTGTTTCTTCAGTCCTTTTGTTGCATCATGCCACCATCATACCCAGCCCTCTGTTAGATTTGTGCAAACATGTAAAAGAGAATTGCCACTTTGGGGAGGGGAATATAATGCCTGACAACAATTAGAAAAACCCATTTGTTTATTTTTTCTTTTGTCACTTGTGCTTTTGGGCTCATGTTCATAAAGTCTGTGCCCACCCCTAGTTCCTGAAGTGTTTCACCTATATTTTCCATTAGTAATTTTACAGTTTCAGGTCTTATACTTAAGTCTTTAATCCACTTTGTGTTGATTTTAGTATATGGTGGAAGGTGCATGTCTGGTTTCATTCTTCTGCATGTGGATATCCAAGTTTCCCAGCACCACTTATTGAAGACGCAGTCTTTTCCCCAATGTATGTTTATGTTCCCTTTGTCAAATATCAGATGGCTGTAAGCCTGAGAGGTGATTTCTGGGTTCTCTATTCTGCCCCACTGGTCTGAGTGTCTATTTTTATGCCAGTACTGTGCTGTTTTGGTTACTATAGCTTTGTAGTATAATTTGAAGTCGGGTAGTGTTATGCCTCCGCCTTTATGTTTTTTGCTCAGAATTGCTTTGGCTATTCAGGGTCTTTTGTTGTTCCATATGAATGTTGAGATTGTTTTTTCCATTTCTGTGAAGAATGTCATTGGTATTTTGATGGGAATTGCAGTGAATCTGTAGATTGCTTTGGGTAGTATAGACATTTTCACAATGTTAATTCTTCCAATCCAAGAGCATGGAATGTCTTTCCATCATTTTGTGTCTTCTTTAATTTCTTTCAATAGTGGTTTGTAGTTCTCATTGTAGAGATCTTTCATCTCCTTGATAAATTGATTCCTAGCTATTTTATCTTTTTTGTGACTGTTATAAATGGGCTTACTTTCTTGATTTATCTTTCTGTTAGCTCATTATTGGAGAATATAAATGCAACTGATTTGGGGGCATTTATTTTGTATCCTGCAATGTTACTGAAATTATTAACCAGCTCTAGGAGTTTTTTGATAGTCTTTAGGTTTTTCTATATATAGGATCATGTCATCGTCAAATAGGAATAGTTTGACTTCATCTTTTCCAATCTGGATGCCCTTTATTTCTCTTGCCTGACTGCTCTGGCTAGTACCTCCAGTATTGTGTTAAATAGAAGTGGTGAGAGTGGGCATCCTTGTCTGGTTCCTGCTCTTAAGGGAAAAGCCTTCAGTTTTTCCCCATTCAGAATGATACTGGCAGTGGGCTTGCCATAGTTGGCTTTTATTATGTTAAGATACTTTTCTTCTGTACCTAATTTGTTGAGAGTCTTTATCATGAAGGGATGTTAATTTTGTCAAATGCTTTTTCTGCATCTATTGAGATAATCATATAGTTTTTCTCCTTGAGTTTATTGATGTGATGTATCACGTTAATTGACTTTTGTATGTTGAATCATCCTTGCATCCCTGAGATGAATCCCACTTGATCATGATGTATAATTGCAAAGGAAACAATCAACAGAGTGAAATGACAACCTACAGAGTGGTAGAAAATTTTTGCTATGCATCCGACAAGGGATTAATATACATAATATACAAGAAACTCAAGCAATTACACAGTAAAAAAAAAAACCCAATTAAAAAATGAGCAAAGAAACTGAATAGATATTTTTCAAAGAAAGACATACAAATGGCCAATAGGTTCATGAGAAAATGCTCAACATCACTAGTCATCAGGGAAATGCAAATTAAAACCACATTGAGATATCATCTCACCCCAGTTAGATTGGCTGTAATCAAAAAGACAAAATAATAAATGCTGGTGAGGATGTGGAGAGAAGGGAACGCTCCTACACTGTTGGTGGGACTGTAAGTACAACCACTATGGAAAACAGTATGGAGGTTTCTCAACTCCATATGATCCAGCAATCCCACTTCTGGGTATATACCCAAAGGAATGGAAATCATCACGTCGAAGGATACCTGCACTCCCTTGTTCAATCGCAGGTCTGTTCACAATAGCCAAGATATGGAACCAACCTAAATGTCCATCAATGGACGATTGGATAAGGAAACTGTGGTATATATACACCATGGGATACTACTCTGCCATAAAAAAGAAGGAAATTCGGGGCCGGCCGGGGGGCGCCCGGGAGAGTGCGCCACTTGGGAGCGCGGCGGCGCTCCTGCCGAGGGTTCGGATCCGGTTCCGCTCGCTGGCTGAGCGAGGTGCGGGCGCAACACCGAGGGTTGCGATCCCGTTGCTGGTC